TGTCTGTCTCCAGCTGTCCTATCACATAAAGGCATAAAAAGCCCCAAAAAAATACTTTAAAAAAAGGAGAAATGAATGAAAAGCACATCCTCTACATAAAGCAAAACAGTGCAGAGGAGGACAAATACAAACACAGGGATATAACAAATAGAAAAGGAGGCTGATAAGAAAAATCAATACACTGTCAGTATCCTATTGGGAAACATTTGCAAATCAACAATTTCTTGAAATATTCTGCTGAAAGTGAGAAGGTCGGAGATTGATAAGAATTGTTAAAATATAGCAAAAACAAGTACAACTAACTCAATCACACAGAAACAAATGCTATGAGAGAGAAGATCAATTTCTACTGACAAAAGCGTCAAATTTCTTACCAACAGCACAGGAAACAATTCATCATGTCATGAATTAATTTCAAGCAAGCAACGTTGGTGTGACAGAAAGGCAAAGAAAAAAACTGATATTTTCCCAAAAGCAGCAGACATGTGCAAAATCACATTAGAAATCCACTCTCAATGCAATATGAAAGAGCAAACGCTCTATCAGTTGCAGTGGTGCAATAGTGTACACAGTGTGCCAGGGTGGAAAAGGAGACAAAACAAATGCACTGTGACATAGCCCAGTGAATATGTTCTGAGAGAGGAACTGGGCCAATCAGACAACTATGTAAATATTTGAATGAATTTGCAATCTTGAACTTTAAGATCATTTATGAATACAGTGCACTGCTGACCATGATTACAGGAAAGAGGGACAATAAACAGAATTGTAATAAAGAGAAAATGGCAGAAATGTTCTGCTCAGTGTAGTAGAAATGAATAGAAGATTTTGTCTCAGTACCCCGTGCATACAGTAGATATTTAGATCCAAAGATACTTCCTTTGTCATCCAAGAGGAAATTTGTTTTCACAGCCTGCATAGGGACTTATTAAAGAGCTGCTGGAGCAGAAATGTGGTTTGCTGGCACTCTCAAGGCAACAAGCAATACTGGATATAGTTGTAAGGATGCAGCAGCACAAGTGGAGACAATACATAAAACATACACACAGTACGTACTACAACACATTTCAGGGCATGGTGCTTAACTCAAGTTGATGCAGTAGCCACCAATCTATATGCAGCAAATCAAAGGCAAACAAAAGACTACACAACTAAAGAGTGCCATACAGTGCTATCCTTAGACATGATACTTCAAACACCTAGGGTAATTATCTCCTGTCACACAACACTTTGTCTACTTAAAACAAGCACTTGCATTGTGATGCACAGTCATGGAAGGATTGAATTTACATGTACACATAATAAATGTTGCACAAGGAGCCATTAGTATAGTGGATTGCATTTTTAAAAAGCAGTTTAACAAACAGAATGAGCCAACTCTGCTGGGAGCTTTAACTGATATTCAATGATAAAACGTCCATGTTCTTCAGCCAGGTCTGTCCAAAAACATTCCCTTTGGAGAGGAGTTTCTTCCTGGTTCCCTTCCCTTGGTGGAGTTATTATTGCTTCAATGCCCAGAACTGGAGCGCAATGCTGGACATTATATTACTGGCTTCCTGACTATTGAAGAGCCAGCACTCAGTGAGTCCAGAGAAAGTCTAAGCTGAGCGCACCTACGATCATAGAATCGTAGATGAAACACAGTTGAAATAACCTGTGAGGAAAGTATTTATGTTCATAAAATAATTACAACAGTGAAAATATGCGCATATTAATTTTTTGAATAATAATGCTCATCTCACAGTACTCAGTACATTAGGCCACTGTAAAACACCATAGCTATCATCTAAGGGTTTGCAGTGCGTGTCCAAATAGTGGCTTGAGAACCAATACGGTGAGGAGAGAAACAGAAAGAGTGAGTGAGAGGGAGAGATGAAGAGAAAGATAGAAGGCTAGAGCAGAGGAGGCGGTGGAGCTAAACTCTCCATGCCGTCTTTAAATGGATAATTTGTTGGGACACACAGAAGAGGTAATACCAGTATCCCAGTGTGCAGCCTCTGCTGTAGGCCAGGCAGCGTCAGTGGCTGTGCCAAGCATCTGGGCAGGGTCACTCCTCAGAGCCAGGCTCGCTTCCAGCCCTGTCTGTGAGTTATAACAGATAACTGCATTTCAAATGGATTACACCCCAAACACTGGCTTTGATAGTAACAGTCCCTCGAGGTATGTATTTAGTGTGTGCGGTGTCAAAATAACTGATACTCTACTCTAATTTGCTGCGAGCTAAAAGAAAGGAAGAAAGAAAAAGAAAGAGGGCACATCACAAAAAAAAAATCACAATAGACAGATTACAATGCCTTCTTGTTCTCGTTTATCTCTGGCTCCTGCTGTGAGACATTGTAAACTGCTGAAAAACACAAAAGAAGTCTAATGCGGCTCAAGTTATGAAAACAGAGTAAAGGGAGCAGAGAGGCAGAAGGAGACAGATGCTGTGTCGACTACCCATCCATAATGTAGGAACCAGAGGCTGTACGCAATAGGGTTTTATTAGAATGACAGCCAGTCATGTCAGGGCGAGAGACTTTAGCACAGCAGGCCGGATGCCTGGTGTGCCGCCGGTAGAGGAATGTAAGCAGGTAAGACTGCAGGTTATTACAACTGAGGTGGCAGCATGGGATTCAGTGAGAGAAAACACTGATTTGAAGCAAACTATGTCAAATGTGAATGAGATGAAAGACAGTGTGTCTCTGTGCAGATATTCTTGGTTCTATGAGAACAATTTGCCATCAATAAAAACATTAAACATCTTAATATAATCCCCGAATCCTCCAAAGACCCCCGTTTCCCATTCAATACCCGTCTCTGCGTTGCTGAGATTGGAATGGCCAATCAGACAGCTCTGAGAGTTTTGATCTTTAACAAGGACTCTGTAGAGAGAAGGAGAAAGAGAGCAGACAACAAGAGATAAAGAAAGAAAGAGGACGAGTGGCTGTGATGAATGCAGACATGTGGTGAGAGATAATGAAAGACAAAGAGGGATGAAGATAAAGGAACAGAGCGCCACCGCAAGAGATCGAGAGAGACGTTGAAAAGTGACAAGAAAAGAACAACTGCTCGATTATTTGGCGAGAGATACTTCCAGCAAACAACACTCAGCATTAAGATGATGAAATGCAATGCAAAAGCGCCCCCCTGGTTGAACCAACTTGTCCATTAAATATTAATTGTGATTAAATTTTTCTCACTTTCATTAAAGCCTGTGAGCCAGGGGGGGAGGAGGACTGTCCTGTCATTTCACACCCCACATCCTCCTGTGCAGAAGGCCTTTGTGTTTCATGTTGGAGATAATAATCACATACATTAGTGGGTGGAAA